ATTTTATGCCCACTCTTCAAAGTTTTACTTATAGTGCTGTGATGAACAGCACTTCATTTGAAAGAGGAGAGCAGGAGGCGAGCATCAAAATTTACGAAAAACAAGAGTTTCACAATCTCATACCTTCGCCAAATGATGTTAACCCTTGCGGGTGACGAATTATACAATTTTAATCATTGATTTTGTAAATAAGAGCCTCATTTGCATGGATTATATCAGTTGATCATATTCTCCATCCAATGACAGCCTTATCATAAGAAAAAGGCTATTATAGCACTTCCTCATAAATTATGCAAATGAGGTGATGATTTGAATAAATTATGTTTATTGATGTTCACCTTCACTTAACTTCCAAATGTGGCAAGTATGAAATTTGGGGTGCAGCAGTTACAACTATGGAATTATAAGAATTTGCCATTAATTATGCAAATTAGGTCCTCATTTACATAATCTATATCTTCAGATGTTTTTCTCGTTCTCAAGTAGATGTCACAAGTGCTTCATAGTTCTATTATCGAACAAAGCAGATTTATAGAATTTCCTCATTAATTATGCAAATTAGCTCCCGATTTGCATAATTGCCATCTGATTATGTCAAGCATTCCTTCAGCTACCTACATACCAAAAATCACGACAATACGTCGACCGGTTCTTGAGTTATCGTCCTTCAATTTTTTTTCAACAAATGCTCCTGCAGTTCCAGAACAAACGGCTAGGGGGCCCAAACTCACGTCACTTCTTCCCTAGCCCAAGAGCTTTCTACCACCCAAAATTCGTGACCCTAGCATGTCCAGATCAGGAGATATCAAAACCGGAAGTTCTGCTGCAGTACCAAGGAAAGCCGCCAGGGGGCCCAAAATCTAATCATTTCTAGGTCTCATTAAGACCTACCCACCTACCAAGTTTCATTACAATCCATCCACTGCTTCTCGAGTTATCTTGCTAAACCACACACACACACACAAACACACCCACACACAGACAAACGCTACTGAAAACATAACCTTCTTGGCGAAGGTAATAAAAGCAGGGTCTAACTGTGCCTTGTAAGAGTTCAACAGTATAGTAACCCGTTCTGCGCCTACCAGTCTGACCAGGCCCTGTTCTACAGATAAGTTTATTATTTTATTCCCACTCTTCAAAGTTTTACTTATAGTGCTGTGATGAACAGCACTTCATTTGAAAGAGGAGAGCAGGAGGCGAGCATCAAAATTTACGAAAAATAAAAGCAGGGTCTAACTGTGCCTTGTAAGAGTTCAACAGTATAGTAACCCGTTCTGCGCCTACCAGTCTGACCAGGCCCTGTTCTAATTTAAATCACCCACTGAATACTGCATGTACGTGTGTAATGTCAAAACATAGGACGGGAACATCCACACCTCACGTGCTTGTTGTGAACAGCGGGCTGGTTCATATATGTATATGAAGTATGTAATCATTGTAAAGGCATTACGAGTAACACATTCTAATGTATTTTGTGTAAAAATAGGTAGTTCAGTTTACATCTTAGTCTGTGCCAAACCGTAAACAACAATTTCACACGATTTATGAATATTTACCTACCTTCCCCCTCAACAACCGAAGGCTTGGGAAGAGTAAAATCCGCGCGATGCTGTTTCTGGTCAAATACAGCCTGATTCTTCTTCCACCAAAATTAAAGTTTCTCCAACGAAGGGATAAAGATGTAACAAGTCTAACTGTCGGCTTTGATTGTCGCTCGAACCCAGGGCTTTAGCCAGCGCCCGTTTTACCGTCAATTGACGGTTACTGTAAGTCTACAAATTTCCGCGGTATATTTAGATTCGCGGAATTCGCGGGGACCTTTGTACCGCGAATCTATTTCCCCGCGAATATGTTTTGCGTAAGTGCGCCCCCCTCCCCACATGCATTGACGACGGTAAGCGAAACACAAATACACGCAACAAACACAAATCACTGCAAATCAACTCTATTCTTAGCAAATGTACGTATGTTGAGTACCAATTTTTTTTAAAGTTATACTGATGTCAAAAAATTATAATATTATGAGACACCGAATTGCGATACTGCGGCACTGGCCGTGTCAAACGTGCACCGCCGGACAAAAATCTCTGTGTGCTGAGCGCCGGCCATGCGCGCCCGGACGCTTGAAAATTGCGGGCACATCGGGCATATCTACAAATATTTTGATGAAAAATATAACTGCTGGTACCTGGGAAATGTTAGTTGATTCTCTTTTGTGCCCTGCTTTGCGGGCGTTTTTTTTTTGTTTGTTTTGCTGGATAGAAACGCTACCGTGGGGCGCTACAAAACCGAAAGCGATCTATGCATACTTCCGGGTTCAAAATCTCGCCGAAGACGGCATAAATATTCGTAGTAATATATATTTTCCCGAAAGATTCTTTCGATTATGCATTTCTTCACTGGAGTATCGATGTGTAGCCGTGGAAAATAGCGTATTAGCGCTTATTTCCGAACGAAGAAAATTGTTTACACGTGCGTCAGATCAATCGTCAGCTATACCGCCGGCAGTCTCGCGCGGTGCACGAAACAAATTTTTGCGCCGCGTTTTAGGATATTAATGCCGGAACACGAACTTTTATTATTTTAAATATACACTTTACAAATTCTTCTTTGAAAAATAGCCAAGGAGAAATCGCGAATCTAAAAATACCGCGGATTGTCCATTTTCCCGAAACCGCGAACTTTAAGCCCCGCGAATCTAAAGAGACTTACAGTATTTGTCCCGTCTGACGGTAAAAATTTTAGTCCTTACCGTCAACATTGACGGTCAAAAATCGTGGGTAAAGACATGGAAAAAATCTAGCGAATTTGAATGTTCCACGGCGCGGCGTCTTTTCCAAACGCACGGCGGCGGGAAACCTGATTTCAAGGACCGTGCCGACGTCTGTTGACTTGGCTCTATTGTTCAATGTTGCTGTCTGTTAAAACAACATGTGCTAACGGCCACATAAGAATAAAATAAAACAATGGCTCGACTCAGACACACGCTACTAACTGTACATGACAATACGATAAATAAACATGTGACAACGAACAAAGAAATATCAAACGTTTTTGAATAATACACTGTACCTGAATAATCATACTATCGCAAGAAAACGGAGATTGATCCACACAATGTGGCCTTATTTAATCTAAAACTTCGTCAGACCTCCTTCGCGCGAAGACTTGAGCGGCAGCATAAAGATTTCTGGAGGATCGCTGACACGCGAGTTTTTGCCGGCCGGCCGCCACGTAACTCCCTCCGCGGCAAAATCCCCTATGCCGTAGCGAAATCGCATCTCAGCGCTTCCCCAAGTCAACTTCATGGCCGCTAAAGTCCGCAAAGGAGTTGTAACTTCCTCATTTCGGTTGAGAAGCGAAGCTGACAAGTAAAATCATGTACATGTCGGCCATTTTGTTTGCTACCCGAAGTCTTCCGAACGCTCTAAATAAGGAAATCGTCGGAGATCTGAGCCACATCGCCCGCTGTCGGTCAGCGCTCGGGGCCGGCTCGGTGGAAATCGGAGGCTGTGACGTCAGGACTAGGTTCATTTGCATGACGAAGCCGCCGCGGCTTGAATCGCGGCGGGATTTGAGCGGATCAAAACAAAGGGAATAGCGGATTGTTCATTGCGTGTTGTCTCCTTGCGAGAACTGTAGATTTTTTTTCATTCTGCAAAATTGCAGATTGTGTAGTTTTCTTTATTCTGCAATCTTAACGGGCATTTAGAATTAACACCGAATGCATTAAGTGTGTCGATCACCGGTCGTGAAAGGCATTGACGGAATTTTTTTTTTTCGCGTTGACGGTATTTTTTTTCGCGAATTGGGTTGACCTGGGGTTGACGGTAAAAAATTTCGAGCTGGCTAAAGCCCTGCTCGAACCTGAGTACAATCGCTGGCTTGTTATCGCCGGTAATCAGCAGTACTTCAGGTGTGTGTGTAGCGGAGGCACACAACCTGTGTCATACAAAGGTCACCAGGTACACATAAACAGACTACGGGACAAAAGCGACCTCTTTTAAACAACAAAAGTAGAGCAGTCATATGGACGGCGCATGGAAATTTCCCTGAAAGACTTCCACCATTCAATAGTGATTTGAATACTAGTAGTGGTTATGGTTATGAATATATTTCCTTAGTATTGTATAAGGAAAAAAAACGACATGAGTTTTAGGTTTTAAAGGTGTCTTGGTCACTCAGTTTAGAACTTTACTTTCTTTAGATGGGGAGAATAATTGGCCATGGGAGTTCAGCCACCGTAGAGTTCATTTGCCCGAGGGGAATGACCCCTACAGGTGGATCCACTCCCCTGGTCAGTCGAACCCTATTTTTGCCAAATTCTACCATCCTAACCCCCTTTTAAATAGCCTGGTGTAGGCTAGCATAGACGTGTGTGGGCCGAGTGGGATCCTACTGCTGTGGTGGCAAACTTTCTGTCAGCACGTGGAGAAAAGTAAATCATGAGACCCTGAGGAGTGGTCTTTGCTAGATTTATCCTTTAATATGAACATCTTATGGTGGATCAAAGGCAGCCAAATGGAGCAACAGATTCCTGACGTGGCTAACAAGTTAGAGCTCATACCGACCAACCCTTGTGGGAAGACAGCCAGGCACAAATATGGAGTAGGGGATGACGCGAGTAGGGGCGTAGGTCACCACAGGTGGTCACGAGAGGCGGTCACCATTTCATGTGCTGGGGAGGGACAACATCTAAAATTCAATGCCGTGTCCTCTTAAACGCTGCCCCGCTATTACTAGTACATTACAAAGCACAGAGACTTAATTTCTTTGCCTACTTGGTTTAAGTACCTTCACTCTTCATTAGGTAGCACTTTAATGAGGTCCAGTGACAGAAGACCTACACGGGTTTACGAGAGCACTTAATACTGACAAATTAATGTATGGGGGTGGGTGGTGGTGAGCACTACATGGGACCAAGGATGGGACTTCAATAACACTTCTATTTTATTTTATTTTATTTTATCCTTCTAAAACAAAAACTCAAAAAAAGATACCACATGACTGTTTATTAAGCATACAGTGTGTTGCTCAGGTTGAGTCTGACATTTTGAAAGCTAAGTTTCAAAAACTCACTACAATGCCCTAGACCTTAAACCTAACCTGGTTATAACCTCCCTACAGCCCTACTTTATGTAAAGACCTTTGCTCTCAAAGCCAATGTATTCATATATTTTGGATCCATTCTAGGACAAGGTGGCCACTACTTGTACTAGAATAGAGGCAAAATACACAGAAAATAAAGGCTGAGTGGGAACAAAAGACTTTCACTTTAGACTACAACTGACCTTAACACTAGACTACAACTACAACTAACCTTAAGACTAGATTGCAACTAACCTTAAGACTAGATGACATCTGACCTTACGACTAGACTACAACTAACCTTAACACCAGGCTACAAGTAACCTTAAGACTAGACTACAACTAACCTTAACACTGGGCTACAACTATTCTTCAGACTACAACTAGACTACAACTATTCTTAAACTAAACTGCGCTTACGTTGATGAAGGTTAGACATTAGGGTAATAAGATATCCCAAAAAACAGTTTATACACAAGCAACTGGATATGATAAATCTGTCTTTCTCTTGCAGTCTGTCTTTAGTGTCATTGACAAAAGTAGTTCAAGTGGATGCTACCTGAAACATCTGACCGTTTCCAAAATCATATCCAGTTGCTTGAGTAACTTTTTTGGCATAAAATGCACTTATCTTAATAGCTTATCTTGAAACTAGACAACTACAACATAATCCTAAAAAAGAACATTTACAAGTTATGAAATCTTGGCTACTAGTATTCAAGGGACATTTCAATTTGTGACTGCATTATGCAAGAATTAGAAAAAAAACATGCCTTTGACATCTCACAGCTGGTAAGTACGAGGAATGCAGCTAAATAGCAGGCAACTATAATATTTCTATAAAACTACATGGCCCTAGCTCCATGACAAATTTAGCTTCACCCAGGAAGATGGCATGACTTGACATGAACATATAAAATGAACATACAACCTGAGCAACATGAACATATAGCATGAACATACAACCTGAGCAACACTTGTCTATCATACATGATGGTAAAATGATACATTGCATTCTTTGAAGAGAAAGAGCTTTAACAAGAACTTCATTTACAGACTTGACCTTTTTCATCCAGAGAAATGCTGCTGGTTGGGCGGTGGCAGGACGTTACTGATCTGTGATGCAACTCCAGCCCAAGCTTAGATAACAATCCCCTCTGTCTACCCGAGGCATCACCAGCAGGGAGAATCACAATCACTTGGTTGTCAGCAAGGCATCGAGAATGTTGGTAACAGCCCTTGTGACGGCACTGGCAAGGGATTAGGACACTTTGAGAGCAATGGTTACTTCTGCACACAGTGCTTCAACCCGTTCCTGTGGCAACCAGGTTCAAGGCTTGGCCTGATCAGCTTCTGTACCCACGCTGACAACCGGAATTGCGCTCAGAGGTAACTACAAAGTTTAGTCCTCCAGAAAACAGTGACTTCCCCAGTTCTGTTAGCTCATGATCACTTACGCACTTCATCTACCTGTCCTCCCTTCTGGCCCTGTGCCGTAGTCTTTGTTCGGGATCTCAAGACTAACGGATACCCCAGAACCTGATGATCCACCCCCCCACCACCGCCCCATTATTTCATTCACAAGGCAGCTTATGTAATGGTCAGGGTTCCCGACCCACTGACAATCACATAATGCAGAAAGAAAGTCAGGCAGTACAAGATACCTAAATAATCATGGGCTGACAGAACGTAGGGAAGTCTCCATTTTCTAGAGGACTGAACTTTGCAGCAACTCCAAACACAATCCCAGCCACCGACATGGTCACAGAAACCAAATCAACCATACATCGGACCTGTATCCCACAGAAACAGACTAAAGCCATGCGAGCAAAAGGAGCCAAAACCCTCAAAATGCCGCAACCCCAACCAGCAAGTCACTCGGGATGTCACCAAAGCAAACTCAAGCACCTTGCCAACAACCAAGAAACTTGATTATCACTGTCAAAAATGTCTCAGATACACAGAGGGAATTCTAAGTTTGGTGCCAAAAGCTACTTAATGCACATCACAAATCACTAACCTTTTTTTCATCCCTTAAAGCCTTTTAAGAGAGGTGTAGTTGAAGGCAACAATAAGGTCCTGGAAGATGCTGAGAGATGTCTCCTTCCCTGCTTCTTGCATCCTAAATCCGACATAAATGTCAAATTACCAATAATTAGAACAAGACAGATTCAGTTGAACATTTTGCTTGTGATTAAAACACTAAATAGGCAAGCAATCAACAATGCCTTATGCCCTGGGTTTTTAATCAGTGGAACCGTAGAAAGCAAAACGCTCCGAAACCAAAGACATTTAACGGTAACAGTTACTGATCCGACTCTCACCTTTATACTGCGGGTCTCCTCGTCGTAAAATCAACGTTAGGTTTGAGCCCTCAAAGTGTTGCCCTGGGCTGTGGAGGTTTAGCACCTCCATTCCCTAAGTTGCAAAGAGAGAAACATTGTATCACTAGGTATTTGGGCATGTTGACTCCAGTGGCAGTACGTTTGAAGGTAAAGTTACATAGTTCGCTCATTACCTATCAAATTACAGGAAGATTTCCGTGCACGTGGTTCAGAAGTAGAAAGGAAAATGATACGAAACCAAACACTTGACTGTCCGCTGAAGGTCACGTTACATACAACCGATTCAGGTGAACAACAATTGTCGACAGTCTCACCTTTACATTGCGGGTCTCCTCGCCGGAATATAACGTTATGTTTGAGCCCGCCGAAATTCAGGTAAATTCTTGTCGGTGTGGTGATGCCCTGGACGTTTTTAACCGCCATTTCCCCCACATTTCGGCTTGCAGACCGCCGTGTCGATAGAAGAGCCTCGCGCTGTAGAAGCAGTTGAAAATCGACTGATTGAACTCAGCCGTCCCCGCACGCCGGCTTTATAACTTCCAACCACCTGTGCGAAGAATTCTAGCCTCCGATTGGTCGATTGAGCAGAATCCTGGCATGCTCATTGGTCAGAAAAATGCACTTTGGAGCCTCTTCGTTGGTCAGAAAAACGCACGTTTCCCATTGGTCATCTCTGCTGATTAGATTAATTTTGACGATTTGGTTGGTCGGTCACATATGAGCCTGCATGGGGGTTTTCGACAACGCAGGAATACGGTGCAAAAAGAGCGCTGGCTAGCGACCTTACTTGATGCTACAGTATTTAACATACCCTAGAAAAAAGCACAAAATATGATACTGGTCTCTATTAAAAGCCATTAAAACTAAATCGACTGATTGATAAATTGATTAATTGAACTAGGGGATATCTTGCTATTTGGTTCAGGCCTTTCGCCAGGTTTCTTCAAATTTAAAATTTCTGATCCGACCTTTTGGGCTTTTTAAAGTATACTACTGACGTTTAAACTGTGATGACGTAGATGGTCACCAGAGGCAGGTCACCAGAGGCGGTCATCAGAGGCGACGCCACGGATGGAGACTTTCCTAGATTGCAAATATGCCATTGCCATGCAAAAAATCACGGCTTATCCACACAGAAGCGGTTCCTCACGGCTCACGGCGGAATTGCAGTTACTGTTACGACAACCAACTGCAGTGTTATGTCTTCGTGGAGTTTATGTCCTGCCGCAAGAGGTGGAGTCTGAATTATCAAATCATCACGGTACATGTGTACTAGTATTTCAGCTGACTGTGATTTACAATAACTTTTTTTTCCATTTCCATGGAATTGACTTATTGACATATTTTTCCAGTAATACTAATGCAGTCAACCGAAACGAAGGGAATAGGTAGGGCAATAATGGATATGATGACAAACGATGCCATCAGCATACAAGAGCCAAGAGATTTCCACCGTACACATGTAGGAGAATCCATCCATAACTCACGGTGAAATTGTATTCATTATTCGTGCCCCTGCATTCGGCATGGCTGCTTGTGATCACTAGTACTCCATGCGAAGCTGAAATTACGAGACGGGTGTGGAAAGGTCCTTGGATGTACTGGTGTTAGTGTTAGCAGGGTACAAAGGAAATTGCAAAAGAAGGAGCAAGGACATTATAATGTCCTTGGAAGGAGCTATTTCGTTTTCCTTCCTGGACAGATGGAGATATTTTCGTGCGTACGTATTTCTGTGTGTATTGGATCTGTGAAAATGCGAGTTTAGTTATCATTTTGCAACAATGCCAGCCATTCCTGATCCATACATAACAGTGCATGTCGAAGGGATAAACCATGCCATGCTCCGGCATCCCCTTTTCAGCTTCTAGACCCTCCCCCGTCCGTCATAACTCCCTAGGCCTTGTGGCTGTTGCCACGGTGATATCAGGATCAATCGCAGGTTTCGAGGGAAATCGTAAATCAAGTTACTCTTCAAACAAATTTAATTTACTGAATGGTACTCGGAGAATAACTGAAGAGATGGGCTACTAATTGATTGTAATGGCTGAAGTAGGTACGTGCGTCATTCAACGGGCCCTATTTTGATGATCGTTTTGTTGACGACTTTCAACGCAACCGACGTGATGTGATCAAAGCTTGGCCAGAAGTATGGAATTTATAATGGCTGTTTTGGTGGTGGATTTATAACGCAATGTGCGTCAATATGGTCATAAGCCGGCCGTTTGCGGCACACAGTGAAGGGTTGACGTGAAGGAGAAATGGATAGAAGGCTCGTCTCTGTAATCCTCAAAGTCATCATAACATCAGGTTGTCGGCGCCGGCAATCTACATGAGACGTGCTCACCGGGATGTCATGCATAACGTTACATTCTAGTTTATCAAATATCAGCAAGAAGACAGATACAACAGAAGAAAATATGCAATTTCTTTCACTACTGGATTGCCATAGGGCGAAGAAATATACTATTGTCAAGGAGGTTTAAAACTCTTGCTATAGTATACTATCAGGTGCTTATGAAGTACGGAGGAGTTCCATAACGACGCCCAACCCGAGGCATAACTATATATAATATTCTACTGTATGTGCAAGCATATTAGTGTATGATGTATATCTGTATGATTAAAGGGGATGGCGGGGGGTGGTGTAATGTGTAGGTGTATATGTTTGCATTAGCAACTTTGCAGAAAATTGCTATCTCTGCGCCCCCGAGCTCGAGCTCCTCATCCACGGAAAGATCCTTTCTGACAACCCCACAAGCTAACGAGAAAGGACAGAAGTTTTTGACCTTGTGTGACCCGTGACCTGTTACGCCGTGTCGATGCTACGTTTTTTGTCATTCCACAGTGACGTCTTCGTCAGTTGTATGTATGTTGTAAATGTCAAACCTGAAATTCTGCGCCAATTAAGTAATGATTGCAATGGAAACAGTGATTGTAATTAATGACAATCAGACACAAATAATAAACAGGTCCCACACATATAATATAATATAATTAATGATATCGTTCACTAAAAAAATATTGATGGGGAGCAAGTGGCCAATGACCCATGATATCAGATGGGTTTAACAGTTTGTGGAAAGAGGGCAAATAATAAAGATTGAATAGAGTCCATTCCGCGTCACCAAGTGGGTTTTTTCTCCATGTTTCTAATACGTTTGAATTATTTAGAAGAAAAGAATACCCCAGTAGCAAAAGTTCTAAATTTTTCAAAAATTTGAAAATGAAAATTTGAATATATTTGAATTCATTTATATATTTCTGAAACATTTTGAATGTGACTGTACAAAAATCTCTTTCTTTAGAATAAATTTGAACTACCCATGTGTTTCTTTCACAATTCGAAATATTTAGAACTATTTCAAACAAATAACCAAATGGTAGATGTGGGTAATTGCCCCCATAAAAGTAGGTGCTAATCCTACTCTTCTGTCTTCCTCTGTATATTTTTAGATTTCACTGCTGGACACTGGTGGCTCTTTTGTTGTAAGGCATCAATGCCTGACACCCAGGCAGTCTACCCTGTACTCCACAGGGATGTGTGAATTACTTCCTTCCCATCCCACTGACCTATTTACAAAATGTTTGAAATAATTCGAAATAATGGTAAAAAATGGTAGAGTGCTGTTAGAAATATTTAGAAACTATTGGAAATGTCATAATCCACATCAGGAATATTTCAAACCTTTTAGAAAACCAGGGAATTATTTAGAATATTGACAAGATGTTCAAAATATTTCCAAATTATGAAATTTCTTAGACAAACAATTACAAAGAATTCAAAACATTTCTAAATAATGACAATAACAACCCACTCGGTGACGCGGAATTGACTCTAAGATTTTCATTCAGTTTCCCTTATATTACGGTTGTCTCATTCCCCCCGTCACATTTCTTGTTCGTCTTTTATTGCCTGCTGTATATTTTCCTCTCAGACATTTCACATTAATACGTTTCATAATTTCCCTTATCGTTTTATTCCATTCTCATTTGGTTGTGGAGCATCGCCATTGACGGAAGCTATCCGAACATTTGAGCCTGAAACCATTTTCTCTAGAGATCGGGATAACTTTGATTTATTGCACAATAATTACAAAGTGTTGTCTTATGTTGGTATTCTAGTACATCCTGTTTTTTCTGAAGAGACAAGAGGCGTGTCTTGACTTTTTTTTACGCAAGAGAAGAATCTATAATTTATCGTGCAACAAAGCAGAACCCATCTGAGAACAGATCTAGACTGCTGTTCAACATGATGGTAAAATCGTTTGTTGGGTGAAGAGCCCTGCATGCAGGACATGGTGTGAGCAGGAGCAACCGGTACTCACTATTACCGCGATATTGGAAAATCAATACCAACTACGTCTGTGATTAAGTCATGCAACCGCAATAACCTGTGACACGGGGATGAGTTTCATTCACATTAGACATGATATTATACATGTACCTATGATAATAGGATATCAATGAATCATACAACCGATACTCAAACACCAATAAACTACAATATAAGTTCTTCAACCGCTAAAATATAATCAACAGGTTTCTACAAAAGTAGTGAACTGGGGTCATAGTTTAATAGATGAAGCAACTTGACATTACTGACATGTTGTTTACCAAAGGTGGGGCTCCAGTTACTCGGAGCGTTTTTATTTCATTTTATGGATGGATGCCTACTGCTATGGTATATTTGTAGGGGGTAGGACTCTCTGTCCCTGCACATCAGTCTGGCCCAAGCCGTGGTCTAGTGTGGTCATCTCTATAGCAGCATCCAGCATATATAACATATTAACGGTCAGATATCCTATATATAGTCTTAGGTGGTAATCAAATTTTCCCAGTGAATGCAATATGGAGCCATTAGGGGCCAATGTAACACCAGAAAACGCCTGGAGTGGTAATCTCAGTCTGTAGAACGTCACGACATGTGCTGATGTACGACACGTGTAAATGGACATTTTACGGCCCCGCGACCTGAGATACATCTTCTGGGATGGGGATGGGCGTGGAAACATTCAGGAGCAGTCCGCGTGAAATCGGTTAAAAGGGAGCAGAGAAACGATTCTGGTGCCGCAGAAATTTCAGGCAGGCTGTGATAGAACAAATCGCAGACAAATATCTATAATGATTACGTTTTTTATTACATGAATATAAGAATATTGCTTATAAGTGCGTCACCACTATGCATTGTATTGTTTGCATGTTGAAATAAAATAATATATCTAAGATATGACACAAGCACGACTATCCCACGAATTCCTTTAATTTGCGACCGCACGACGTGTGTGACCTGGCCCTCGGGCCCTGAAGAGAAGAGACACTCGTCTGTGTCTGTGATTGCACGGCGACGTGGATCGATTTGCTCGTTAAGATGTGTAGTTGCTCGGATGGTGTCATGAAAATATCATTAGGCTGCTCAATACGCTTTGAAATGTCAGTGGGGTGAGAGGAGGTCCCGGAACAATTAAACTTTATACACGTGTGAGTGTTGATCACTTTCTAATGATTCATAAATTTTTCTCAGAATTCAATTGACAAAATTCCAATGAAACTACAATTTTCTGATAGCAAAGAATATGTTTGTTCTATCTGTATTGTATTGCCCATGCTGGAGAGAATATGCTCATCTCAGTTGGCTTCAGAATGTTACGACAGGTCACCAAGTTGTTTAGATATTTCTTTTATGTCACTACATATCATTTTCTAGTTCGTACAAGGGAAGGAAAAACGTTTTGACATACTAAGTAGTGAGTGTCCGACATTGTTAGGAGCCACGCGAGAAGTCATACAGATGAACAGTGATGGATTTCCACCTGGGAGTAGGAAATGTAAAAACAAAAGGAGGCAAGGGACTTTGATATGAGAGCAGAATTCTATAGACAAAGAACTAATTTTTACATGTTACATTTTCTGTATTTTGTTGTCTTTTAGATCACACCTTTGCATCTTGCATCATATCCCAAATATGAAATCAAGGGTTATACAAATCTAATCTTGGTCGCTCGACGGTCGTGCAGCGATCGCCTAGTGAAATGGGACTGTAAAAATGGCGGCTGTGTGGTAGGTTCATGATAACACGTACTGCAGAGGACAGGTCAGGGAAGATTACTGCATGATTGCATGTTGGTCTGGGATGACCTGTAATATCCGACCAGTACCCCTAACGGATTTGACATGAACACCAAATGTACCCCACAGGACAGGGAACGTATCAGATTAACGTTCTTTATCGAAGACGAAATTTGTCCGGAAAAGGTTGCCTGAGAAATTTGAATTCTTCCCTTACGTGATGGGGAAAATGGGAACCGCGAAAGAACACATTACAATGAAAGTTTGTTAGGTATTATCTCGTCCCTTGATTTCATCGAATATGACACCGTCATTGCGTGGACCTATGTCGTTAGATGTAGATCAAAGATTAACACATCAGTGGTCGAGCATGAAACAAAAATTCAATATTTCAAAAATGGTTATCATCACTTATTTCCGTTGGACAATAACACTTCTGCTCGGATGAGCCATCTGTTATTTTGATTTGTACATTATTGTTTTGAGATGGTGCCGAGCTATCTCGCCAATATCTACCATCCTTTCTTTCCAAACAAGTCAGAAGATTTCGTTTTGTGTACTGGTCTACATTTATCTCGGTCTTATTAACCAGAGCCAACGTCAACGTCAGGGGTTATATATAAAGGTACTGTTTTTCACTGGCCAAATTGTTGTCATACTGTGCGTACATGTACTAAAAGAGAGCCTCAACTCTAAAGATAAAGCATTGCCAGTTCTAAGGGAGATTAAAAACAGATGCAAATTTCGCACTTGCTTCTAATTTTACCATGATTAACAATTCATAGGCACCACCAAGTATATGTTAGTAAGCTTTCAATAAGCCGGTTGTTTTTGCCCGGGAGAATTATTCCAAGAATTACAGGACAGAAATAGCACCATTTAGTATTTTATAGAGATAATAATAAGATGATGTACATTTAATATCCATTGAATACGGTAGCTTTTTCTTAATGCATGTATGTATATGTCAAACAATCACTGACAATGAAATATATCTGTAATGTTTAATAAATGAGGAAGGATATAATGGATTCTATTTACTAACACACTACTGATTCTGATGAATATCGTCTATTGTTTTCCAGTAACTCTCATCCCAGAGAGTCAGCTGTAATTGACAGGTTTATTACAGTCACTGCCGATGACTCATTGGGTCAGGTGACCAGGGTCAAGGCCTGAAGGACTACCATCCAGGGACTGATCATTATTCAAGGGAAATAGAAGGGGAAATTTGAGGATGAAAGATGGAGGTTCTTGGTTTTTAGGTTCTCTAAGTAATTTGGAAGAGGTGCATGAAATTGATGTTAATGAAACAGCATATGCATATTTTATGTTTATTTTCTATATCGAATCAACCCTCCCTGTGAAAGAATGGTTCATCCCGTTGCCTGAGTCACGCGCGTCTCCAAGGCGCTTCCCTGTGTCACCATGGATGTTGTCACAACATCTCCCGACCTGTCATTCCGGTAGATTGGGGGCTGAACGTGCAAACAGGGACCGTTTGCCGGTGACAGATTCTGTCAGTGTCAGACGAGCGGAATACCCGCCCGTCGCCATGGCAGCAGGGTGGGCGGGAAATTAAATCATACACGTCTTCAATCATACGGCGGGCGAGCCGGAAGTCAGCGGTTGTTTACGTGGCGATATCATGTCAATCATGACTCCACAATATTATAGTGAACAGATATGTCACTACATTTGTACTTAAAAGATAAAAGATATGGAAAATTACTCTAGAATTGTTAGAATATGTGCTGATAAAGGAGACAACCTTAATGGCCCCCAAATCTGAATAACAATGACGCAATAACCCGGTCGGTGAAAGTAAATATTTGCGGAAGTGAAAGTGCCATGAATCGACCTTTGTATCGGCAACAATGACCTCTTTAAACATCTGCCCCTCCCCAACCGTGCCGTGTCCCATCGATTATGATACAATCAAGGCTTATCTCATGAACATAACTACAAAATCGAATCAATGAAGGTAACGTATACGTATAGCTGCAACCCTCCCAACTCCCCTCCCCTCCTGCTAAATGATATCATACATGCCGGTACATTCCGTCACACAGATCAATATGATGTTCCGGCGCTACCGTGCAATATAGAACCGTGCCTGCCCACCTACCTTGTAATCGCACGCGAATTCTGGATCCTGAATCTCAGTAATATAAACTCCATGAGTCGTTGTCATGATCGCGAGACGTCGCCGTACTGTGGTGTCCACGTTAGCGCCTCGCCATGACTTATAACACAATCCGCACGCGCGTCTTGTGCCGAATTATGTATGAAGCACCGACAGCTCTCTGGAAAGATGCCACGAACTCTGAACCGCCTGGATAGGCAATCAGAGAGGTGTGGGTTTGGTGTACATGTCCGACAGATCTTGTTCCTCCAGCCAGCTAGCGAGATTTGACTTTCATTAAGGATCACGGCAGCGGAAGTAAAAATGTGAGCGGGTCATGCCAGCTTGACTGGGTGATTCTGAGTACAGCTGGCAAATTACTCTTCTTTATTTACGGAACATTATCCAACATAGTGCTCCCCCAATTTCTGATATAAAGTATTACAACAGCAGCGAAATCATTTTATAATTTATCTGCTAGTATTTATGAATCTTCAGGGAAACTTCCTCAGGGAAATCTATTACAAGGTGTTATGATGAATCAATATCGATAGAAATCGTTTACCAATATGCAAAGTGTTCCTAGACTATCACGGTGAGACTATTGGTCAGACCTATTGTATCGAAGTATCAAATAAATACGTTATTCATTGCATATGCAAAGTATCCAGCTTTTCATATGTGAGTCAACATATAGAGATGATTTATCGCAAGTGAGGGAATGTTATAATTCATAACGAGAGGCAGAGTAAATCAATTAGTAATACGTATCACAAATTACGCAACGCCATATAGCATATGCATTATGAATGATTTATGACATATAACAGCGTCTATTCTTTAAGTAGGCTTGCAAACGAAAGACCCTTGAGGTAGATTAGAGTGCATCTTGCTTGTCGGTAGTTTTGTAGTACTGTTGAACCTTGATATATTGTATTTCATACCCGGTCTGTATAGACTTACACACGATAAATCTCCGAACATTCTATTAAGAAAGGTCACAGAAACCCGTTAAACGCATTTTCTCCCTGTCCCCGAAAGTAGCTAGCTAATTGCTATACATAAATCGCTGGAACGTTAGTTAGCAGAGTCACAGAGGACATCACATAGAGTCTATAGACATACATGCTGTGGGGAGAAGTTGACTTTGCACGACACAACAGGAACTGACTGCCCGTCTGTACTACCATTTGTTGCGGCAGGGTGTTACAGCAGGAAGTCCGGGCCACATGGGGACAATTAGGTCAAGGCAACTGGGTCGACAAACTGGCTTACAAAAATGTTTCTGACTGTGGGAACGCAAACTATGGTGACCGGTCATCGGGGGCTCCGGACTATAGCAACGTGAACGGCAACTCGAGCTGCCTCGCCGCTTTTACAACTAAAATGCCGTGGAAGATATAACCGTCTGAATCACAAATTACTTGTAACGAGCACATATGAAGGTACATTGTATCAAATTAAGTATTTCGATATGCGCGATTAGATGGTTCCGATTACATTTTGCTCGGAATGTCTGACTAAAAACTACGGGCTATGCTCTTTGCGTGGCATTGGAGTAAGAAATACCGCGAAAGTGTTCTTTGGCCATTGAAGTACTTTTCAGTCTGTCAAATGTGCCTTGCAGAGATGCCATCGCTTCATTACCTCGCTCTGGTATGCATAAGCAATGTTTTTCAAGCTTCAAAGGTAATCAATATAAATTTCGTGCCCTGCGGGAAACATAAGGTGACTGGCCTTACATGTACATACTCCCATCAAAATTATAATCGATATTAAATACTGAATCTCAGCAAAGCTTTTCAAGGCATGTAGTGTTCCTCAAAGACCTCAAAGAATTTTGAGAAGCCTGGGTACCCTCCGCTGTAGTTACCACCGGCTCTGTCTGGTCGTCTCAGCTAACATACACACACAAATGACAACATTGACTGAGAGATTCAATGCTTGAGGGAATTTATTATAACACCTATCCTTGTAAGACTTGTAATGATAATCTTATCAACTTCAAAACTAATCCCTGGAATCCTAGAATCAGGTGCATATACCCCTTACCAATAAGATAATCTTTATTATAGATATATGGGAAATGTTTGAAACATGATATCGCAGTCTGGTAAAATGCTGTCCGATATTCAGAGACCAAAATGTTCATAAGTTTCCCTAAAAAGAAAGATGTGGCAAAAAGACGGGCTCGTCCGGGAGTCGAACCCGGGACCTCTCGCATCTTAGAAGGATGAAGATGTTCCCTAAGCGAGAATCATGCCACTAGACCAACGAGCCCTGCATGCTTCCCTTGTGCTGTTCTCCTTCCCTTATACCAGCCTGGTTATCACCTCATCTGAACCCTGCCAGCCTCACGTGCGGACCAGATGTTTGCAGGGAACCCGCACGTGATTGCCTTCTGCAGTTCTTCCTCAGTTTGACAGGAGGCAATGCACTGTGGATTTTAGCGTTTTGCAGTTGAGGTAACGCTTTCGTTTGCCTGCACCAGGATTCAGTATTCTACATACTAAAACATTCTGCATACTTAAACTTTGCAAGAGCTAACATCATCCTTTTGGAATTTGTTGTAGATCTACAGGAAGTGAAAACATTGATGCCAAAGCCCTAATATTACCAACCAAGTAGCAACTTATTGTACCCCATCTCCGAATGTGTATTTGAAATAGCATCGTACACCCAAATCTAAAGAATATCTTAGGAATATCATGTCGAAAAAGATTTCTTGCAGGTGACACTAGTTGATTGTGAGTTGACTTCTCGTAGACCGACTGCGCGTGCGGTAATGCACGAATCTGCAAATAAAATATGAAAATACTCTTACAACAAGATATCACATCACAACAATTTTATACATCTATTTCTTTACCTCTTGGTTGGTACATGCAAATGGTGTTCACTCTCTCATCGATAATCTGAGAAAAGGTGCATTTTTTACTGTTGAAAGGTATGTGGCTGTCGGGTAGGGAAGTCCTCCGACACGTGTCCACGGGATGCACGAGTAAATGGCGGTAATTTAAGTTCGACAAGAACCTAACTCATTTTCCCCGACCTTCCGGTCCAGACTTAGGCCTGGCATAATATTTAAACCCTTCTTTGTTTGGTTAAGCCTGTGTACATACACGAAACAAAACAAAACATCACAGCGTTTTTTGTGATCTTGTCACACAGACCAACAAACACCATTGAACGTAACCTCGAAGGTAGGCTATTGAAACTTATTTCACGTACCCGAGCACAGGAACGGTGATGATGAAGCTGATCGCCGGGCCGATGAGGAAACCGAAGCCGGGGAACCAGTGCAGAGTCGCCCGGTACACGGGAAGGAACACCAGCGACTGTGTCAGCTTGTTGATGGCTTCAAAACAGTACAGGAGCGCGAACACTGAGCCTGAAAACAGCGAGAACTGGCATCAGTACAGCAACAGGAAGGGGCAGTTTGAAATATTGAAACACAGGTAAATGGAAGAAAACAAGTCAAGCTTTTCTATCACGGTTAGAACAATGACATGTGCCATCTGGGACCCAGACAACTGAGTGTGCAGTATATGAACATAGAAACATAGACATAGATGTACCTTGTCGGTCCTGTGGAACAAGTTTAGACATTCCAGAAGTGATGACAGAATGCTGCATTCGGCCTAACATTCGGACACAGGGGACTGTAGGAAACAGGACAAGGGAAAGAAAGTTAGCCACAGGTAGGCAGCCACTTTATCTAACATAAACCACACACGCCATTTTGTATGTAAATATATATATATATATATATTATATATTATATATATAATATATAACGACCCAATCAGCCAGCCATCTCATACACCCATCAACCAAATATCGCTACGACCAGTTTGAAAATAGGAAGAGCTCTCACCTATGAACGGAATGATGTCCCGGTGTGGAAGGTAAGCAGACACGGCCATGAGTATGTTTGCCAGCACGTCGGACAGGATGCCTATCTGTGCGATCCACAGGTCATCCATGAGGCGCCCCAACAGACGGATTCCCACCGCACTCATTATGTATGCTCCAAGGTACATGACAGCAAGGAGTATACCAATCTTAGCAGGATCCCAACAAAAAGGCGAACCCATCAAGAAGAGATTCAGTATCTCAGAAAAAGGCCCATCAGCAAAATGCGTGGAAATGTAGGCAATGTAATAGCAGCCCAACATGCCCCAGTCGATATTGGAATTTTTGACCGAGCTGCATGCTCGCCTGAAAGCGCTGACATACGACCACGAAAATAGTTCTTTTTTGGACCTCGGCAAAGACTCGGGAAGAAGTCGTACGTACAGAAATATGAAAACAAACAGTCCTAATGGGATCCACATCGATGTGGTGAAAGATTTTTGCCATTGAACCCAGAGACCCGACGATATGTACCCAAGCGCAATGCCGATACCTTCAAAAGCACTGAGCACAGCCAGTCGAAATGTAAGTTGGGAGCGGGGTGTTATGTCGGCTAAGTAGGCCTTGATGCCAACAAATGGAGTGAAACAGTAACCAAAAAGACCAACAAATGTGATACCAATGATGACAAATTCGAAAGAAAACCTAAATCCCATTAGTAGCAGATACAAGGTGGCTTGGATGATTCCTCCGAAGATTGGAGGCACGATAGCGACCTTTCTCCTTCGGCTTAGATCGCTCCAAACCCCAAAGAACACGGCAGAGAAGCACGCTGCCATATACAGGCCCATGTTATGGTACAGAAGCTGTTGTGAAGCGCCAGCCTGGGCCTTCTGTTGAGCCAGGTACCCGGGATCAGACATGTTTAAGAAACACTTGGAGGAATTGTCGTTCCAAACAAACGTGATGTTACTATTTTCACATTGTTTGTAGTACAGAAACTCCTTCAAAAGGGGACTTTGTATACCAATGGCGAGAAGAAAGAACGTGGGGATGGGTTCGATCGGTAAGCGGCATGCTGAAGCGGTGTCTTTTGCAGTCCTTTTGTTACCGTCTAAGAGTGGCTGTGTCTCTGACTTGTCAGCTTCATTTTCCGTGTCGTCTTCGAATTCAGTCATTTTCTCCGACGTTAATGACACCTGCTCTGCTCTGAATTTACTGTGGGAGAATGAAAATAAGGTAAAGTATTTTGGCGTTGTTTTGAAATTACTTTTGATAAGCTGACAAATTAGAAAAAGGAATTGCCATGATAAGACCTACCCACCTACCAAATTTCATGACCATCCATCCATAGCTTCTTGAGTTATCGTAAAAACGAAAACAGAAAAGTTACTAACTAGCATGCGCGTACTCTGACCAGAGCAAATTTCTAGAATTTTTCAGAACTGGACGCATAGTATGCTAAAAGGCTCCATCCCAAAGGCGTCGCCAAAACATACCTCTTAACAAGTTGACCCAAATGTCCATCTACTGGAAAGGTCGTTACACAGAAAGAGGAGTAGCTGAGAGATAGACAACTAAAAAGGCAGCGTGGTGATTGGGAGGATCAGTCATATATGTAGGAAAGAGCATTCTTCCCCCTCAAGCAAATGTAGTCAGAGGCAAAGGAGTGGTACGACAATTTATGGACAGACAAGGGACCCTATCGTCACTCGAAAAATATCTTAAGGGGCCAATTATCATCATCTTTCATCTTAGGATCAGGAAAATATCTTGGTATCCAGGTGTGAAAGGATAACACAATTTTCACCCCGACAAAATGAAGGGGAAAATTGAATATTATGATGGAAGAACCTTCTGATCGTCAGAGCTTGTCATAATAATGTATTTTGTCTTTGTATTTTTAATATTATTAAGTAACAAATTCTTCCTCGCTAGCAAACAAACCTGTCTTTCAAGCTCTGATCTCGTGTGCATCGCAGCACGGCTGCTAGAGAAAAGAGGTGTTCGTACCATCCTATTACCTGCTGAACTGCTGTTTAACTTATGAGGAAGAATTTTTAACTGTGATTTCAAACGCAGCGTATTTTCGACTGCACAACGCCAATTTGAGCCAAGGAATAAATCCACCCCATCCTTATGTACAACTCTAGTAGTAAAATACTAGTAAAGATACTAGCACAACCTCGGACTCAAACCAGGGTCAAAAAGCTTAATCTCAAAACCCTAATTGTCTACGCCACGAAACATCTCAGCGATCAAGGAGCATCCTAAACTTTTCCGTTCTGTAATATGGTATCGACCGTTTCAAATCGACCGTATATGAGACGGAAATTAGCCCCGGCGATCTCTCGTGAAAGTCAGAATACGATGAAATGCGGAGAAACCTGTCCATACTACAACTAGACATGAAGTTTAGATCGGAAAAATACTTGGAGTGGTATGAACACTCGGAGGTCAGTCATACGTGTTAAACACTGCAGCAGGACCACTGCTTAGAACGTACCCGGGTATATTCTGGCTAGGAGTAGAGTCTGGTCTGCTCCTCAGGGGGCCTGCAAAGTTTGACTACGAGTTGCTGAAGTGTTGCGACTTACCGACTGAGTTCCCGGTTATCACGGCGAGATTGGCGTCTGGAGTTCTACTCCGTCTTCTGCGTGTTAAGAGTACGGAGAATTGAAACGTCTCTGGAAGACTTTCTCTGAAACTGGGAGAACCCTTAAATACCATGCAGGGCAAATGACCAAAACCAGATCTCTTAAGTTGACCAAATGCCCACCTACGCCCTCACCCGACCCACTTTCACGGGGCGTCATGAAAAGGTCGTGACACCCAAAGAGGCGTGGCTGAGAGAGCCATCTAACATCTAAAAAGGTAACGTACAACTCTGTCATTGGAAGGGCCAATCACGTGAGATGAGCATTCTTTCCCCTAAAGCAAATGTAGTCAGAGACAAAAGAGTGGTACAATGTATTACTAGTATATCTCCGACGACCAATTACGGACAGACAACGGACGCTGTCGTCACTCGAAAAATATTTTAGGGGCCAATTATCATAATTTTTCATCTTATGAAAGTGCAGTCAGGAACAATCAATCAGTGACATATCTAAGCAACAAGGTGTGAAAGAATGGCACAATTATCACCCCGACGAAATGTAGAGGAAATTAAAGCATAGAATATGTAGTTGGATGAAAATATCTTACAATTTGTGTTTGTAAGATTGTCTTTTTGTAAAAAAAAAGGCGGACAAAATCCGATTCCTCTAAATTGTCTTCATGTTCGACAACCGACAACAGTCTTATAGCCCTTTTGTTAAGGCCATGTTGATTTGATTATGTGGATGGCATTCCATGGGAAACCCAAAACTGATGCGAGCGTGCGATTAGAAGTTTGACGCCGTTGCTTGCGCCGATAACATGTAGTGCTTGCTTTTTTCCATGAATCACGTTCTCTCGATTTCTGGCCATTTGAGAGGTAGGAATATTTGTGTGATACACATAACACGCCTATCAAATTTGTAATCGATATTAAATATTAGATCTCAGGAAAGCTTTTCAGGGCATGTAGTGTTCCTCAAAGAATTTTGAGAAGCCTGGGTACCATCCGCTGTAGTTTACCACCGGCTCTGTCTGGTCGTCCCGGCTAACATACACACACGCACAAAGGACAACATTGACTGAGAGATTCAATGCTTGAGAGAATTTATTATAACACCTATCCTTTTAAGAGATGTAAAATAATTTTATCAACTTCAAAACTAATCCCTGGAATCCTAGAATCAGGTGCATATACAATTTATCAATATTTATTATAGGTACCCGGGAAACGTTTTTAAAACGTATCATATCGTGGTCAGGTAAACAGCTGTCCGATATTCAGAAACCGGCATGTTCATGTCTTTTTATTTTATCTAAAAAGAAATATGTGGCAAAAAGACGGGCTCGTCCGGGAGTCGAACCCGGGACCTCTCGCATCTTAGAAGGATGAAGATGTTCCCTAAGCGAGAATCATGCCACTAGACCAACGAGCCCTGCATGCTTCCCTCGTGCTGTTCTCCTTCCCTTATACCAGCCTGGTTATCACCTCAGCTGAACCCCGCCAGCCTCACGTGCGGACCAGATGTTTGCAGGGAACCCGCACGTGATTGCCTTCTGCAGTTCTTCCTCAGTTTGACAGGAGGCAATGCACTGTGGATTTTAGCGTTTTACACTACATCGTCAGGTATAGCTTTGGTATCCCTGTCTGCTTCATAATATATAGGCACCATGGTTCAGTATTCTGTATACATAAACATGTAGTGATCCAAGGACGCAAGCGCTAACATCATCGCTTTATAGTTTGTTAATTGCAGATCTATAGGAAGTGTAAACATTGAAGTCAAAGCCCTTCTATTACCAACTTATTGTGCCTCATCAGTTTTGACCTGAACATGCACTAGTAGTTGGAATTGAATCGTACACCCAAGTCTAAAGAATATCATAGGAATATCATGTGGAAATGGAAAAACATTTCTCGCAGTTAACGTTGAGTCTAGTTGATCGTGAGTTGACTTTTCGTAGACCGACTGCGCGTACGGTAATGCACGAATCTGCAAATAAAATAAGAAATTACTTTTACAACAAGATATCCTACTTCACATCTATTTCATTACTACTTGTTGGTACAGCCAAATGGTGTTTACTCTCTCACCGAGAATCTGAGAAACTATGTATTTCTCACTGTTGAAAGGTGTGAGGTAGGGAAATCCTCCGCCTCTTGTCCACACGGGATTATATGCCTGTAACATTCAGTTTGACAAGAACCCAGCATCTTATGTTTCCAGCCCCTGGTTCACACCTAGGCCTCACCTAATATTCATTCAAACCTTACTTCCTACGGTTAAGGCCTGTGTACACAACGTTATACATAAAGACATAACAACATTTTATCTGATCAAACACCATTGAACGTAACCTCGAAGGTAGGCTATTGAAACTAATTTCACGTACCCGAGCACAGGAACGGTGATGATGAAGTTGATGGCCGGGTTGATGAGGAAAACGAAGCCGGGGAACCAGTGCAGAGTGGCCCGGTACACAGGAAGGAACACCAGCGACTCTGTCAGCTTGTTGATGGCTTCAAAACAATACAGGAGCGCGAACACTGAACCTGAAAACAGAGAACACCAATACAGCGACAGAAGGGGATGTGAGAAAACAGCTTCCCTCGCTTTGCATAGTTTCAAACATTTAAAAAAGGGAAAGGAAATGAAAAAAGTCAAGTGTTTGTATCACAGTTCTATCAATAACATGTGCTGTTTAGGACCTACACACGGTAAAAATGTACAGTATATAAAAAGCGTAGAAACATAGTATAGAGGTACCTTGTCGGTCCTGAGGAACAAGTTTAGACATTCCAGAGCTGATGACACAATGCTGCATTCGGGCAAACATTCTGACACACGGGACTGTAGGAAACGGGACAATGAAAGGATTAATGAAAGGTTTATTCATCAAAACACATAGCAGCCATATGACAAGCGAAAGAAAGTTACCTATAGCCACATGTAGCTACATTATGATAATAACTTTAGGTAACATTAACGATACATGCAAACATATAGTAACGAAGCAACAAACTATCTAACACATCAATCTACTCATCAACCAACCATCTATATGTACATGCTTTTCAACTCAAGTTTGAAAATAAGACGAGCACTCACCTATGAACGGAATGATGTCCCGGTGCGGAAGGAAAGCTGACACGGCCATGAGTGTGTTTGCCAGCACGTCGGACAGGATGCCTATCTGTGCGATCCACAGGTCATCCATGATGCGCCCTAACAGACGGATTCCCACCGCACTTATGATGTGATATCCGAAGTACATGGCAGCAAGAAGTATACCAATCTTACTAGGATCCCAACAAAAAGGTGAATTCATCAAGAAGAGATTGACTATCTCAGAAAAAGCCCCATCAGCAAAATGCGTGGAAATGTAGGCAATGTAATAGCAGCCCAACATGCCCCAGTCGATGTCGGAATTTTTGGCCGAGCTGCATGCTCGTCTGAAAGCGCTGAAATGGGACCACGAAAACAGGTCTTTTACGGACATTGGCAGAGATTCGGGAAGAAGAAGTACGTACAGAAATATGAAAACAAACAGTCCCAAAGGGATCCACATTGATGTGGTGAAAGACTTTTGCCATTGAACCCAGAGACCCGACGATACGTACCCAAGCGCAATGCCGGTACCTTCAAAAGCATTGAGCACAGCCAGTCGAAATGTAAGTTGGGAGCGGGGTGTTATGTCGGCTAAATAGGCCTTGATACCAACAAATGGAGTGAAATAGTAGCCAAAAAGACCAACAAATGTGATACCTATGATGACAAATTCAAAAGAGAACATAAACCCCATTAGTAGCAGGTACAAGGTGGCTTGGAGGATTCCTCCAAAGATTGGAGGCACGATAGCGACCTTTCTCCTTCGGCTTAGATCGCTCCAAACCCCAAAGAACACGGCAGAGAAGCACGCTGCCATATACAGGCCCATGTTATGGTACAGAAGCTGCTGTGAAGCGCCAGCCTGGGCCTTCTGCTGAGCCAGGTACCCGGGATCAGACATGTTTAAGAAACACTTGGAGGAATTGTCGTTCCAAACAAACGTGATGTTGCTATTTTCACATTGTTTGTAGTACAGAAACTCCTTCAAAAGGGGACTTAGTGTACCAATGGCGAGAAGGAAGAACGTGGGAATGGGATCGATCGGTAAGCGGCATGTTGAAGTGGTGTCTTCTGCAGTCGTTTTGTTACCGTGTAGGAGTGGCTGTGTCTCTGGCGTTTCAGCTTCGTTCTCCGTGTCGTCTTCAGTCATTTTCGCCCTTGTTAACGACACCTGCTCTGCTCTGAATGTACTGTTCGAGAAGGAAATACGGTATTTTGGTGTTGTTTTGAAATAATTTTTTGAAAATTTTAACGCCGCAAAGCGTTTAACGTTGGAATCTGGATATATACGTAAATATTTCCAATATTACCTGCACTATTGTCATTGGGTTCCATTGTATGACGCAATTATGTGAGAAAGGCAATTGTTTTCATTGATCGACGCTCAGTAAATAGACTTTGTCCACCACCTATCCATTTCTGCCACTGCCAAACTCAACTGTCGTCTTACTGACCTTTCGATGCTCCGTGTACTTTGACACTTTTAACCGCCCTTCCTCGCCGTTGCTTGCGCCGGTAACATACAGTGATTGCTTGTTTCCATGAAGTACGTTCACTCAATATCTGGCCATTTAAGAGGTAGGAATATTTGTGTGACATAACGACAATCACTTTAGAAAAATTAGAAAGAACCAAGAAGTCACAACGCTGAAAAGTTAAAGCAATGTGTATTATGCTGATTGTGACTTGATATGTATACATATTTGTAATTACGAGCGAAATTGTCCAAGTCGTTTAGATACAATAGATCGCTTCTGATTTCAACAATGAATAGTTAAATGAAATGAAATGACAAACCTTGTCTCTGGCAAACCTTGGTCAAAATGACAGAGGCTGATCATGTGTCTGACCGGTGATATAGGTCACGTGCGTCAAACACAAAGGTTTCGTTAAACTTTAACCGATACGGCAGTCTGGTACGAGTAATCAGCTAATCACCAAGCAGACGTTGGGAGACAAAATATCTGCACTTCATAGTTCCCATTTTACAAGGAGGCAGTTGGTAACAGAAACAGGCAGTTAGAAAAACGTGTTTGAAGATCAGTTATTACTTTTCTAATACTGCGACAGGTTTTGTGATTACGTGAGTACGATAACGGCTTGTGGATAAATGTTACTTGTAGGCCAAAAAGTCTTTCACGTTTTCCTTGGTCATAAATGCCTCTCTGAAAACTCAATAACCCTGTTTTAAAGAATTTTTCTTAGACAATATAATAAATACTGAGACTGAACTGTGAAAGGCTTTAGATCCAATCTTTATTCATTGCATTTCCTATCTTGATATATATAATTACTCACTCTTGACCAATCAATTAATGCATACAAAATATGGTGTGATAGTACAATGTATCACCTATGAAACTTTTGAAAAACGATCACAGTATTATATGTACATCAGTTTCAAATCATTTCTTTGTCATGGCTTTGAGGGGATCAAAATACAGAACAAGTGCACTTCTAGGAAATCCCTGAAACAGATTGGTACAAAAGGGGCGTAATACCAGATAGAGTCCATCTACAGATGAATGCTACCAGATATATGGGATGAGCATGGCAGTGTTGCGCCTGTACGCCAGGTATGCTGGGTTTTGTCCCCACCGTTTCATACCCTGACGCTCCAGGATGGGAATCCCGCTCAAACGTGTCAGGAGCAGGAACACAAACACGGGAGACACGGCGCTCAGGTGCTGGTAACCACGGAACACGGACGAGGCGGAGATGTAGAGACCTGTGTGGAGGAGAATCTCTCCAAGGTAGTTGGGATGACGACTCAGCGACCACAGGCCGCTCTGGATAAACTTGTCCTGCAAGGAGAAACAGTTACAACCATCTTATTTTAGCATTTTTCTTTCATCATCCTATAATTTTTTATCTCAGTCAAATAGGTATCATATTTTTGTCTGATTACCTTGGTGGAATTTGCACCACTAGCATTTTGAATCAGTTTCAGTTTATTATGATTATGACCCTTTAGCCCGTTAGGGCTAATCTTCCAGGGCTCATTCCACATTACACACACAGTACAAATATATACATATGACTACAAGTTTGCATACACGTTGAGGTCACACGTCAGACAAGGTACTAATCAGTTGAACAACCAAGCAGAGGCTGTATCTAACCTTTTCCAGATTGATGGTCAGAATTACTTTTTATTCTGTATCAAGTTCAGGTGCCTTGACTGGATTGCTTGGTTCATCTTCTGAACCAATCCTTCACCTGATTGGTCATGGTTTAATGCCACTCAATTTCGATTCGTCTCTGCTTCCACCTACATTTTTATATAATTGGTTTCATCTGACCCATTCCTCCACACTGATTGGCTGATACCGTACCACTCCCATACCTGATTGGCTGATACTGTAGCACTCCCATACCTGATTGGCTGGATTGTTCTTGAATGCAGATTTTTGATAGTCAGCGATGACTTCGACCAGCAGGCCGAGTGCCCACAGCCCCCACCCTACATAGTCCCTCTCCCCCAGGGCAGGGTTGTTCTTCTCTTCGTTCAGCAGGAGGGTGGGGAGGAGGGTGATAAAAACCCACAGGCCTGATGAACAGGATAGAGAAAACTGTTACAGAAGTGCATCTCATATATAGGGCAGTGCTGTAGATACATACAACTAAAAGTCATACTAATAGCAGACATCACTACACACAGACACACAGACAATAGAAGACCATCACTATTTCTGTAGCCATAGAAAATATCTGTAAGAATTGCGACATGTTTCACATAATGTGTCCTGAATACACAGCTAACTCAATGTTAGTACAACCTGTTCAAAGTGCTTACACCCCTTTATGTTTAGACAGCTCATGTTCCGATGAAACCCTATGGCAGAAACTAGGGGTGTCAGAACATAGGGACATTGGAACATATGGATGCCTCTGTTAAAAAAACAGGAGGCAATGCATAAATATGGAAAAGCTGTCTTTATTTAGATACACTAGTAGTAGTAGTAGTGGTGGTGGTGTAACTACATGTCATTGATTAAAATATGAAACACACATGTGCACGAAAAGTCCTACAAAATGCAGACAAAGGTGTTCAGGTGACCTTGTATAGTCCAGTACATCAGGAATAACTTAGGGTCCTTCCTGGCATGCTTGAACCTGCTGTCCCTGCCAGTCTTCAGCACCCGGTGTAACAGAAACAGGGCGAGTCTGGAAACAACGTGCAAATGTGTAAACATGAGTGTCTAATACAGTGCAGGGTAATAAACATCCATAAATTTCTTTCATTATGGTCTCTGTTTTAATTAACATCATCACACAGGTGTGCTCATATAACAACAAATGTGTACCTCACCTGAGAGCCCAGGTACAGACCATGCCTGTCTGGACCTTCTGACGCTGGTAGTATCGCCCTCCCCACCTCAGACTCAGCAGGGACAACAGGGTGAAGGTACCTCCACCTGGACATAAAACAGGACGTTAACAGAACTTTGTGGAAGCATCCAGGTAACCTAACACTGTGTAAATGTAGTACATTGTATTTGTAAGTTAGGCCACACCAAGTAAATTTTATGGATGACATCCTTTGGAGACCCTAAATCTAATGCGAGAGGGCGAAAAAAAAACAAGAAGGGCCCTAAAAAACAAGATGCCTAGATTAGAAATATACTAAGGGACCACAAATGTTAGGACACAAATTGAATGAGGTGACACAGTGTAACAAGCAAGAAGTCTTTTATTCATCATCAAAACAGCAATAAATCAGGTGGAACAGCAGTTGTCGTCCTGTCCTGTTTCTTTCATCACATTTTTGCAGGCCTGCAGAAACAAAGCATAAAATTGCGGCACTGTCGGCACTCTTTGGTCATAGTTATAGGAAGCAGAATTTCTTGTTTTTTTTCTAGGAACAGGCCAAAATCAATGCGCGCGCGGACGTCATCCATAAAATTTACTTGGTGTGGCCTTAGACATTAAGTAAAAGGTAATAGATGGCAGTAGGTGAGCCAACTATACATCCTGTTTGCATCATACATTAGTGAAATGTCACAAAATCCTCCCAAATCTTGTGTGTATTGAACACATTATGCCAAATAATGAATATTTTGGCACTTTGATAATATTTGCAGTAGCAAATTTGCGGTCTGTGGGCTATAACGTCATTTACTACCTGTATAATACGCCATCCAATTGGAGAGGTCGCCACAGTTATGATACTACATGCTACTAGACGTTGTATATGTACTAGTAGTCCTATATAAAGCGACCGGCCCATGGTCTGTCTCACCCCACCCCCCGACTGGACCGCCTTTTTCGCATTCTGGAGTGGACCACTCTTTCCACCAACCCTACAAAAACAGGCTGTAATTGTAAAAGCCTAGCCGTGTGTATATGACCTACATAGTCACGGGTACATAAATGTGTGCATGATGTGACTACACCGTCCCTACAAACCAAGGAGGTCTATCAGACCACTTACTTACCTGCCAAGTCGTAGAACTTTTCTGTCTGAAAGTAAGCAGCTATCGGAAACAGCGCCCACTGCACGCCGAAGGCCACGGCGGCCGCTCGAGCCAGCGAACTGCTCTCCAGTAGTGACACCACGCTCCCCATGTTGTCCACCTTTGGTAAGGCCGTTCCCGACAATAAATGTCCACTACAACCAACCTAAGTTACGCAAAACAACCCCCTAACTCATTTATGAACTTTGAACCCTTCGTCACCTGGACGTTTGTAAACAGAACCACTTCCGGGGGCGTTCTCTGAGGCAAAGCGTAATGGGTAATTTTCTTGAATCAATTTTGGTCAGAACCGCGGCGGGCAATTCAAACTACTGCGCTAACGTTCTTCCAGTACCGTGTTCAACATCGTGTACTTTTCCCAGAACACACCGTGTGTAGATTTTGCTCACTTTGTAATTCATTCTTTCAGTATAGTAATTTTAATACGTATAATCGATCCAAGGACGTTATATCAGTCTTGGTATAATAATGTCAATAATGTGACGGAAAGCGTAGAAGAACGACCGTCATACAGTCAATCGGAATCCTTCACTCTTGACAGGCTAAGCCAAGTTCGAAGGTGGTAGCGTAAGTCCTGTGGCAAAGTGTGCATTTTGTGCATGTCCATAGCCGCATGCGCGCGCGCAGCACAGCAGAAGTTGCTACTCTGAGATAGCGAGATCAGCACCAAGGACATCACCATTTCATTGTTAACACTGCGTGGTTGGACGCTTGTGTGCTTATACATGTGTGCACGACAGAGGGCGTGCATATCGTTTCAGGTAACATGCTGTTCCAGATCAAACCACTTTAAGATTGATAAATGAAGTTATCTTTTATTTCAAGGCAGTACACGTAAATTTCGTTCATTGTTTTCTGGTTTTAATGCAACTTCCTCACGGTCACCCCAACACCTACCCTTTACTAACTGCGTGTAAGACGTTTCCCTGCAAAACCGAGGCTTTTCCACGGTAGTACAAGGCTTTGGGTGTTTCAATGGCATAGTTTCTGTCGGTCGGTCTCGAGCTCGTTCGACTTTTTCTGGACTTGATGCAGCTGTCTCGTGGTATAACGTCTAACACTGTAGCGTCACCGTAACAGAAACAGAACAGATGCGGCTCCTTATAGATGTTCATTTTACACTGTTCTGGAAGAAAGTGTAACATACACAAACTGCTTCACGTTTTTGTAAATTTTATTAATGAAAATTAAACAAACATTTGCAGTTTCGACAACAGCCACAACATTTCACGTCAAAGGGTTTAACGTATAAGGGTATAAGTGTTGTTTCACTCCAAACTGTCACACACATAAAATATATCACTTACTGAGAAGTAAATTTACAAGTACCATTTGGACAGCTCGTCAGGGCCATCTATTGTCACAGCGAAAATATATTTCTTATTTTGAACAATAAAGTATGTAAGGTAAACTTTGGACAATCAAAAATAAAGGATGATTACAGTTTTCGGTGTTTTGTTTAAAAAAAATGATACAATTAGAATTTTAGAATGAAATCACACAGCCCCAGTATGGACCTATTTGTGCTGCAAAATTCTTATATTCAGTATGATTGCAGCCTTGTCAAATGTGGAATATCACAAGGAATGAGAATGATGCCTGATAAAATACCCACCTTTCAGTGTTTCGTCCTGACTTCACTATTTAGTGGATAAACCTCATTGAGCTCAGACGAACGCACAAGTTCTTGATACACTAATGAACAGTACGTCATACATAGAAATCGCTATGTGTATAAATATAGTCTATGATACTCTATCGTTACAAACTATACAATTCTTTACATACAAGATGTCTTCTAAACATGTTCAGGTCTGTCCTATGTTAAAGACGATGAAATAATGATAATACATTTGTTTCACAATAAAACCTATAACAACATTCCGTGTAATATCACAGAACAGATAAGATCTATCTGCAAGCAAAACACACGAACACACGATATTTACAAAATGGAATGTTTTACCGACCACTGGAAGTAGAGCTTCCTATGCGCAAGCTAAGATCGGGTCGCAATAAACTCAAAATCAAACGTCCACACAATGATTATGACCAGGAAGAGCCTGATATGTGCGTCTGCAATGCTTTCCACGCGTTCTCCTGCAGTATCAGATCCATGGAGACCCACCGCTCTTGTTCCGCGGAGTAGAGAGGCAGCACATCTAGCTGACGACCCCTGGCAGGGAGTCCAGATCCTCCTGAAGAACGAAAGAAGCAGATTGAATCAAATAGACAACATTGATACGAACATTACTGGCAGGCAGTCTTGATCTGGACATTACAGACTCATTTCCTTACTTTAATCAAATGACCTTGAAGATTGCCGGTTGTCCAACATAAACGACAAAATACCAATATACTAGACGTTAGCAAAGTAACCACCATGAAAACACCAAACCAACAGGGCATTAGTCAACAGCTGTAAACACAAGACACCGCTGGATTGTTCATTCATGGGATCATCAGCATAGATTGTGTTGAACAGAAATGAATAGCTAGCAAGTTGGCCATAAGGAATAGACATTTCTAGTAAGTTGGTCAACACCGATAACACCACCAAACAAGGTGGAAAAGTGATGACTAGCCATAAAGGCCCGTTTCGTGCATACAGATATCTACGTTACCACGGTAACGGACAGTTTCCTGCGTCTATGTCTATGACTGGAACCTGCAGACTGAAAACATACGTTGCTTTTAATGAAGACGTATCATATAGCTGAGAAAAATGACCATGAGCCTTTATACTAGACTTTCATCTTCTGCCGTACGAAATAGATTACCCCTCCCAACTCCGTAGGAAGAGCAGCGAGGGTACCAGACGTCAGAGCGATAACGTCGCTGCATGAACCTAATCCCCAAGACTGACCTCCAACACGCCGGAGTCTCCAGAGGAAGTTCCAGTCAGGGACTTCTTGTCGTGCTTGTCGGAGATGAAGGACTTGTTGTCCACGCCGTTGCGGTCTATCGGCTTGGCGTTCAGCTGCTTGATGCGCTGGATCTCCTGGTTCTGGTGGTGAGTGTGCCTGTGGACAGGACAATATCAATGTGCATCAGAGCTACTGATTCATTATTATCATCCACCGTGTTCTCAAGCTGCAGGGATGGGAACCTTCTTCCGCTGTAGTAAGTCATTCTTACCTTTGATCTATGCATTTTAAAAAGTTTATAGCTGGTCCATGCATTTTCATTCATGCCAATTTGCTAACATTTGATTTTCTTTCATGACATTTTGATTACAAGTGTACTCACCATCCCTTGACCAAGACGAACACCATGGCACACATGGCCAGGAAGAACAGGACGATGAACAGGATCGCGATGATCCAGCCCAGGCTCAGCGAGTCGTCAACTGTAGTGAACATGACGATAGTGATATCAAAATTGTGGAAGATTTCTACCAAAATTAGAAAAAGTAAACAGGCCAAAGAAACAATGTGATGCATGAGTTTAGCCGCCTATATGAGACATCATCATATTTAGTTTTCTTTCTTGTTTGCCTGCACTTACTCGAACAGCTGACTCCATCGTCGTTCAGCATGAAGCCTTCTGGACATGCGCACATGAAGGACCCGATTGAGTTGACGCAGAGTTCTTGGCAGTTGTTCATGTCTCCTCTTGCGCACTCGTCAATGTCTGAATGAGGGGTGGTAAAATCAAAGATTCCGTCAAAAATGTAATCTTTTAGAAGAAATAGCTAAATCCAAGACCGAGTGAATAGACCAAATGTAGAAAATAGCGCGGAATTTAGAGGTCTAGGTATAACGCAAACGCAGCAGGCTTACCCGAGCATGTTGGCGGTGGGTTGTCCACCCTTCCCCCGAGGCAACGGATCTCACCGGCCCCTGTCATGGCGTACCCGTCGTCGCAGGTGTAGATGTGAGTGTCGGAGAAGTTAGCGCCACACTTCTGCACATACGCGTCCTCAACTTCCGCTGGTTCGCCACACGGCTCGTCTGCAACGTTGACAGTTTATGTACAATTATCAGATACGATTATGAAAGAACATCGTACAGGAACCTAATTCTTTTTATAATTAGGGGAATGCTTTTGGAGATTTCTCTAGTCATCCAGCAAATCAAGTTGCCGGATGTGTTTGTCATTACTTAAACTGTGTTCTAAAACTAGAGGATCAATGAGAAATTTACATTGTTGATGTTTTGGTGACGCCTCAAAGGTAGCGGCTGCAAGAATTACCACAACTATCCTACAGCAAGGACCCGTATGAAAAAGAACCTTCTTTGAGCTATGTTTGCTTCAGTCCATTGCTGCCGAGCCGGTAAATGGACATGTTACCTTCAGGGATTTCCTCCCAGAACTGCAGGTTGATGCCGGGGATGTCCTCACACGCCACCATGTCAGCCACGGCAGTGCGCCGGAACACGTCAGGCGGCAGCCGGGTGATGCCGGTAGTGTCGCAGATGACGCGGGCGTAAGTCACCTGTCTGATCTCGGTACGCTGTGACGCCGTGAGGACACCGTCGCTCTCGAACCAAAACCTGAAAACGGAAAGACATGATCAAAATGTAGCAGCGGTAGAGCAGCAGCAGCATCGTCTCGAGATGTTGAGACTCGCACATTTATTCCTAGTCCGTCCCTTAGTAACTAAAACAAATGGTCCATTTTAGGATTTGAAACTTGTGTTGTATGTCTGAATCTTAGACAACAGTTATTTCTATACGTTACATTTCTAACCACCTTATAAAAAAATCCAGGTGTGCACCTTATTGCAGATGTTGCCTTACCTGTCCCCGTTGCGGTTTAACTTGAACTGCTCCGCCAGCATGCACCTGAAGGTCGGCCCGACTCTCGCGCCGTCCTCGTGGTCCTCCAGCTGGGCCGCTGGCCAAAGGTCAATGTTGTTGACGTCACCATATACGTCAGAGAGTGTGTCACGTACGTCTGAGTCGGAGATCTCACCGGAGAGGTCGTCAAAGGACGCTGCAAACGGATATTAAATTAACAGAATGGGTATTTATTGTACTAATGGTTGTCTGATTAAAAAATACTACCAGAACTACCTAACTTAAGGATGCGTCAACGTCCAAAGATTTTTACACCCCTCTATCTCACCTGCTCGAGAGAGGTTGCAGAAGACTCTCCAGTCATTGTAGAAAGGAATCCCGTGGTCACGGCCACGCTGGGTGTTGAGAGAGGCCAGATCCAGCGCTATCTGGTTCCTCAGGGCGAAGAGGTTCTGGGAGAGCTCCTCGTGCATTACCTAGTAAAGCAATAATCGCCAATCAAATTTGTTGTTTACATGTCGAGCTTCAGTCGGCATTTGAGTCGGGATCGGTGCTCGTATTGGACAACTTTGTTATCGTGGTGTCATTTTACATTGATTTGCATAAACTGAGGGGTGACATGTATAAGATAGTGCCTTACCTGTGTAGGAGTGACCAGCTTGGCGAACCCTCCGATGAGCCCCCTGACCACCGGGTCTATTCCGCTCTCCCGCATGACGCGCCACGGCGAGAAGAAGGCGTCATGGAGGGCGACGTTCCCGATCGCGGCCTCCTCGTAATTCTGAAGGGAGAAACACAGCATAAATATCAATGACAATAATTTATAATGACCAGATATTTCTATTGTCTTCAAATTAAGGTAGAGAAATGACCTCAATTTATCTGGAGCAGCCGTTGGACTGCTGTGTGAATGGGGCTGCGGGTTTACGTGATGGTACGAACTTGAATTTATAGCCGGGATATGGTCTGAAAAAGATAGTTGACATCGGCGGAGGTCAGCTCAGAACATCATGTTTATCTCCTTCTGCTAATTTTCTATGTGATGAGCTGAATTGGTGGTTCGTTCAGCTACGCCATGTCTGTTGTTACACCTAACAAACAGGTTTAATTACAATGCTAACTCTACATTCAGGCTTGGTTCTCTCTCTTGTCTCCGGTCTTGACTGTGATAGTGATATTTCGTCTGTGTCTTGGAATACATACTACCTTTTGACCCGTGGGCGTGGTCTTTTTTCACAAGATTGCTTCCGTTCAGGCCTTTACAACATTTCCATCTGTCTTGCGCTGTCTTTGAGAGGGTCTTATTTCGTGTCGTCGTTTGTCAGTTAGTCTGTAAGTCCGTCTGTTGAAGACGCCATTCCTACCTCATCAAAACGCCTCATAAATTCGCCGATGGCGGCGTGGCCGAACCTGAAGGCGGCAGTGGCGAACTCGTTCCGGGTCGAGGGGTTCACGTTTGGGTCGTACCCGGTGTAGTCCCCCATCTGGTCCATCCCTGAGTCGGACATAGAAAGTTATACCATACACAATAATAATGGCAACACCATTCCTATGTTAAGTACGGCAAACTTACTGCCCTTTACGAGCCAAGATATATGCATGTTTTTCGGGCAAACTAAACAATAGTGTTTTAGCCTAAGTATGTGATAGAGTAAATTTCTGCTTGTACTTTTCAAACAACACCAACGTGCACCACAAGCCTAAGGGGACCCGGCGCTGCTGCAAAACTTGCAAAGGCGATAAACTCCGACTAGTAAGCGGGGCTGCCATGATCTAGCGTAAATGTCTTTTGAAGTGTTTCAAAAGAAAGAATAAGCTTGAGACAAGAAGGACGAGCGAGGATGACCTACCTGTGGTTCATCCGATCTAAGACTTTCTAGCGAAGCTCAGGACCACAACGCAGTTGCCCAAAGACACCTGGTTGTGGAAGAGAGATACCATCTGTAGTACAAGTGTTCAGAAGGCGGAGTTGTGCAAGGAAGGTAAGAAGAGGGGATGTCAACTTAAAGGTACTAGAGTGGCATCGAATCAGTGGTTTATGGAGTATATATAAGAAGTGCGATTAAGCTATAAAAAGCCCTGGACTAGAATATATATTTTGAAATGTGTATTTGTATACCGATTCTAATGATATCGAAGGTGGTTAACTTTAATGCGCAGTAGATAAGGCCTATGGCATGATGATGAAGCTAAACGAAGTATGGTCTATTTGGATCGATCTGCACTTCTGATGTGATGTCCTGCCGCTACCTCACTATTGACTGACAGTAATAACACATACTCTTTGTGGCAACACCATAGTAGAAAAAAATAGTGTTACCTCTTGGTCCGAGGATCTTAGGAAGGTACTCGGCGAAGGTGATGTGCTGCATCTCTGAGCCGACGATCTTACGGGCCTCCTGGTAGATCTGTTCCCCGTTCCAGTGCGGATTGATACGCTTCAGCTCCCGGGCGAGTCGGTTGTGCTCGCGGAGCCAGATGGTGTGTGATGCGATCAGCGTGTTGACTTCGTTAACCCGACCGTCGCCAGCAAGGAAGCATGGGACGATGTCTCCTCCGTTAGGATCCTTTAGAAAATAAGACAACTTGTGTTACGTCAATTGTTTCAAAATTATAATCCTCTCTGCCAGGGTGCTCCGCTTCGGTACGACACAATAGCCAAAACGCCCTCGGCTAGCGATAACCCTGACAACAAACTATCCATTCTTCAGGGGGTTAGAGCTGGCCAAACGTCAGCCAATCAGATCAGGTTATTCCCCGGCTGGTCGAGGGAAAGTTATCAGCCAATCACATCGCCGATACGGGAAGGAGGCGACCTCATTGGCTTGTAACTTACCCAGGAAGAACAAAATTCTGCAGTGGTTAGCGGTCCCTTATCCTCAAAGGTTATACGTTCATCATCAAATTCGTTTGTCACAGTGATCAGCTACAATGTGGCTTCCTATGACTTGCTGACGACATTTTCTCTAAGATTCTCTGTTTCCACTCAATCATCAACCATAGATTTTTTTAGCCTTCTCAATTATGCATCGGGCACTCTGATTGGTTCCCACTGACCTGATTGCAGGCGGTCACCGCCTGGTTCATGAAAGGAAGTAGGTCCATTCCTGAGCTGATGTCTGCTCCTTCCTGGACGCGCAACAGACCGTCATCTGTACTGAAGTCTCGCAGTCTTGTGAAACAAAGAAAAGAAAAGATGAACTATTCATCACATGTACAGCTGGGTACAAATGACATGTACGATAATGATAAAGGCAGAAGCTCATGATAATGGGAGGACTAAAAGTAAAGCATACTAGTAGTTTTGAAAAAAAATTGTGCACACAGTCGACTTTTCAATATTGTTTAGAAAATGGGAGTCCCCAAATGCTCCATGTATGTAACACAATGCATAACACAATCGGGTTTCTGTGACAAATATGACCTAAAGAAACTCACGACTGTGCAAATTCGAATGTCGAGCCGTAGACGTTGGAGGCGTCGATAAAGCTGGTGATCTGGTTGATCTGTTCACGGGCGATGATGGTGTTGAAGAGGGAGGACGTCTCTCCTGTCCCGCACACGGCGCTGGAGCGGGTGAACGGCATGCAGGCCTGCGGAGAAAAATCAAATCATAGGGAGGTGGTAAAATACTACTAATAGTAGTAACTATAACTTGTGTGAAATGAAGACTGCACCTTACCAAAACTAACTTTCTCTTCGTCAAGTAAATCTATCTTAGCCATTGATCCCTATTCGTTACCACGGATGTCGCCTGGGCCAAATAAAGAAATGCATTGCACGGTGCCGATTGAATCAATTGAAACCCCGTACCCTGTCCCGCTCGTTGTCTATGCGGGGGTCGTCATCGGGGATGGGGATGGGGAAACACGGCATGATGTTATCGCAGGTCTGTCCACACGTGACCGTGCCCATCCTAGACAGAAGAGAAGAGGGAAAGCGGTAAGGGTTACGATTCGTGGATTGAAAAATTACGATAAATCCAACTAATGGACAGGAGGCTAAGTTTTACATTGCCAATCATATGCACATTTGAACCTGTTCATATCCTGAAATGTATTCATTGATATGTAGATCAGTAATGTAGATAGATGGACTGTACTGACGGCGAGAACATGGTGCGCCCCACAGCGGTTGCGGTTAGATCTGTGTCGTGGTCCAAGAACTGTCCCCACTGAGTCATCATGTGGGTGTAATCAGGATCCTCCACGTTGGTTGGCGTAGTCATCAGCTGGACAAAGAACGACAACTTCGGTCAACCGGCAGCAATATGGCAATGGCTGCGGTAATCACCCTGCCTTAAATGAATATTATACTGAACGAATTCAGCACTTAGCTTGCTATTGAAAAGATCAGTCCCTATCAACCGTTTCAAAGATCACAAATGTTATCCTGCAGTTCAATTGGAGACCGCCTTGGGACGTGATTCCTAACTACTTCTTGCCGCATGGTGGCGTTATGGCAATAGAAATGCGGTCCTAAACATTCCCGAGTCTATATCCCCGTCGTCTATGTTCCTAACTGACTTCGCTGTGGTGAGTAAATTGACTGTGGTTGTGGAAAAACGTCGGGACTTTACTTGTAAATGACAGATGCAGTTGAAAGGTTTTAGACCTACCCGGTTGGAAACATGGCGGACGCTGGGCAGGGTGAATCCGTTGTACTCCCGAGTCTTGTTCCAGCCCACGGGCTCGTTCCACTGGTTCTCGTAGATCGGCGGCAGGAAACGGTGGAAGGGTGTGAGTGAAGAGCCCCACAGCGGATTTTCCCTGTTATTGCAGCTCCCGTCGATGGTGCGGTACTTGCTGGAGAGGCAGTTGGAGGAACAGTTGACCCGGGTCACGGAGCGTGCGCAGCCGGAGAGGGAGGCGATGGTGTTGAGCTGCTGCTGAGAGATCAGAGCGCTGAAGGCCGGAAGGTCTGTGTGAGAAAAAGAAATAAGTTCCAATTCGTGCTCCGTAGTTTTCGTCAAGATAGCCAACACCCGTGAACAGACAGATGAAGTTACAGTATTTGACCAAGACGTCAAAACACATTTCACGTGATTTGCATCTATGATTGAGAATACATAAAGTTTTTTAAAAACATTTTCACTCATCACCCACGTTTATTTTCCCAATAATTCACTCCATCCTATGCTGGAAGTATCCTTTACTTTAAGAAATATTAGTCCGTTAGACATGTAAGAAGAATCTCGCCTTCGATCATCCTCTTGCTCCTATGATGAGCCTTGACCTTCTCGGCCACCAGCTGAATGGTATTCTCCACAATCTCAGCAGCCCGGGCCTCCCGCTGGGCGCCCGGACTCATGTGACGGAACAGGTCCAGGAAGTCTTCTGGCGTCATCACCCTGAAAACAAGAAGAGGAAGACGTGAGTAGAAGATGGGCAATCGAGTTGCGCTCCTTACTCGACTCCTATGCCACGGTTCATGAGCACCAGTTTTAGTTGAATAGTCTTGCTCTTGCTCTTTTCCACCTCGAAAGATGACTAGGTCTGGACGATGAAGAATGATTATCGTTCCATGTTCTTCCTTACCTGTCTGGATCTTCGTGCATCTTCTTGGTGTAGTTGATGACCCTGTCTACACGCGTCATAGCTTCAAGCAGGGAGGAAGTGACGTAGGCGTCGCCGGGGTAAAGCTCTTCCGGGTCATTCCGTGACTCTGCAGACACTGTGGATATTGACATATGTGAATTTTTTTATTCATTTATGATACAAAACTAACACCAACAGCAAGTTGACAGTCTACATCATGTGAATGAAGACGTGTTTGTATTGGCCAAAGCCTTAAATAATCCCGACCAGGAGAACTAGCGGTAATGTGCCCTCTAGAAGCTATAACACATCTTTTATCTTCATTGCAGTTTTTGTTAGATATGCATACACACACATCACATATTCTTCACGTACCAACTGGCTCTTTCTCCCACCTCTCATTGTACGTTAGATGAGTGTAGTAAAGAAGAATTACAAAATAGTTTCAACACCAAACAGCGATGGCTGTCAAAACTCGATCGTCTCTTTCTGTTTGATTGATGGTGGATTGCATATGTTGGTTAGTCAAGATTTTAGCCTGTTCATACGTCCTTTTTAACGTCAGGACGCTGACCTCATTGTGTTTAGAACTGTAACTTTTGTTTTTCTTGTCTTGTTCTAGAAAGCGTCAACCCGTCACAGGTCGTCACCAGTAGTGACATATCGTACCTGCCCGTTTCACGCCCCACTTGCAATGAAATACCGCAACAACACCAAGGAGTTTTAAAATCTTAATTTAAACCTCCTTAATATCACAGAAGTCTCCCACTAGAGACTTTCCTTCTCTTCAAGAGTCCCACAATGAAAACTTTCTCCGAAGACTTTTGGCTTTGAAAAACAACTTTTCTTTCAGACGTGGAGAAAGTGGTTTTTGATAGTTTGACAGGCACCTAGAGAGTGATACTGTCCAGAGAGCACATTCATATTGAAGTAGCTCCGCGCACTCAAGCGGGTCCAAGTGCGCTCTGTGTTTTTTCTGGCCGCGTCTTTCACCACTGAACAAAAACAATGGTGCGCTCCTTCGAGAAGATTCTGATAGCCTCCGTCCGTTTGAGGACGGGAGGAAACTGGTCTGGGAGTCTCGTGAGAAGATGTAGATGTTCTTACTAAAGACAAAGTGGCCAATATATAATAAACAACCTTATAAAACATTAGTGAAGCTTCTGAGAAGAATACCAGTTTTATGTTCAACATAGTCGTTTTTAACAACTACCATTTGCAAAGGTTGAGAGTTGCCTCAAACGAAGTTTTGCCACTAGAAACGAAGTTTTGCCATTATTCAGTTTAAAATGTACAAATTTAGATGCAGTCAACGATGTTGAAGTAAACCTTTTTGGTGGTAATGATTCTGCCACAAGTACTGCCGTGGAAAAGATCTTTAAAAAACCCAGAAGGAAATAGCTACCAGACCTATGCACGAGGGTTTAGCAAAAGTGCAAAATCACCGTAATTCAAGGTTAATGCAAGGCTGTCTTTTCATCATGATGTTGCAAGTTTCTGCGCCACTGCACCATGATGGAAACTATGATCAACTCATGGGGACTGCATCGTCATCGTGGGTCAATTAAACATCCGTGCAATGTGAAAAAAAGCTCTTGGCTTTCTTGATTTTCTTAAGTGATCTTTAGTAGCTTTAAAAACCGCGATTCCAGATCTTTCTCCATATGCAAGTTTGAGAACACATGAACAGACCTTTTTTCAAGTATATGCAATGCTTGAACTTCAGAGAATGTTTGGGGTTGACGTCTACACGTACTCCGTAGAAGAATGGTATTTCAGCCCATCTTTTTATTTTACCTTTTTCCTTTCAACGAGCAAAAAAATATTTACCGATGCAATAGGTCATTTACTGAGAGCTTTGTCAAATTTTTCATAACAAATACAATGGCACAAACTTTTCCAGAGCAGCTTACGCTCTTTTTCGTTTAACAGCGCCTTTCTGCACCCTTTACTAAATGTTTCCAATCTGTTTCACATTCACTCTTAATTAAGCATGCCAGTTAGCCCGGTAATGACAATTCTCTCTTGGAAATCTACCGGGATTTGGAATCTAAGTCTAGAAAGCTCTTTCGTGTAGCGGGAGTACAGTCTGTCTTATAATCTAGCCCCATTTATTTCCTGTCTCAGCAACGCCAGTAAAAAACTCGTGGTCAAGACTAGAACGTTCTACCGTGATTTCTTAGGAAAAACGAGCATGATTCATAAGTCGTTAAAAACTTTGAACACTTTATAAACTGTAACATTTGGCATCTTGGAAGCGCTCAAAAGCAATACATATAGCTTACCTTTTCTAATGTTATCAAATCATCAAACAAAGTGTCAGCATATAATACGAGTACAACAGCGCGCCCCCAGTTTGTCAACGTGTCATGTAGTGTTGATGTGCGTAAGTGTTTATAATCTATGTCGACATCAAGTTAGTATCCAATTTTAAGCAATTTAGCACATAAATCACATACATTGTATATGAATATAAAACAGTAAGAAGCAGGCTTACTGGTTAGGACGTCTGCGCGCACAAGGACGACCAGCGAAGTCAGAAGAACGAATACAGCTGTGGGCGCCATCTTCTGTGAACGGTAAGAGCAAAAAAATGTCAATCACTACATTTGTGTCTCGTTCCATAATAGCTCAATGTATCAACGCGCAGAAATTAATCTACGATCAATGGGGGAACATAAGTTACGATTTACAAAGCGGCTTTGGGCAATCGCTACTATCAAAGCGCGTAAACACTCCTTAGTAACTTGTGGTCAAACTTGTGTGTACAACTGTACACAAAGACAAGAAATTTAACAGCAACGGAAAGCGACTGTTGCCTGTACTCAATGTGATTCGAATACCATTTTCTGTCCCTATGAACAGATTTATAATGATGCACCAACACAAAACGTTAGCGCTATAGCAGCTGTCATCGAAACAGTCGTGCACACGTGTTCGTGGAAGACAAATACATCGATGCTTTCTTTGCCTATCAACTACCGCGGTTCATTTTAGCGCAAGAGTGAGATTAAAAAAAGAACAAGGGAAATCGTAGATTTCAAACCTCCGGGTTTTTTTTTCTATTGGTTTAGGTTATTTGTTTGTGTGTAGTATGAAAGTTATGTGCGTAATATGTTTGTATGCCGGTTTGATGGCTACTGACGGTTGGTTCGGTATGGACTGTTGATTAACGCAGTGTTCGAAATACTGTTTTGAGCAAAGTAGCACAGTGTGCTACCTAGGGCAAAAACTAGGTAGCGCAGCAGAATTTTAGGTAGCGCCACGCCCCGCCCCCACGTGTACACTATATGACATCCAGTAGATTTCTAGCGGGAACCAATCATAGGGCTGCTGACGCGTCACCGACTAGCGGCTATTAGCACCTTGTTTCATGTAAACGCCATGAACTCAACCAACTCAACCAGAGCGCGTATATTGTTTCTTGTTTACATCAGTACTTGTTTACATCAGTACTAAGTACTAGTACTTCCACAATCAGTTAGTAAAGTCATACCTTAGTAAAATGTACTTTCATAAACGAATCAAAACGGGACTGTAGACATTAAGTTTTACACATTCAAATGGGGCTGCACTAGCGCTATTGAAGCGACTACTACGTACGGGAAGGAACGGATCTTAGCGAAGCGAAGCCGAGATTTGTGAACCAAACCCAACCCATCGAAGACGGGCCGCCAAACATAAAAATGGAGGGAAATGACAGACAACAAGCCAACAAAGACAACATCACCAGACCAACAAAGTTGGAAAACACCACTTCAAGCGCTAACGTTGTAAGAACTGTGGAACCTCAAACTAGTAATGTTTAGCGTCAGCGGAAAGGCTGTCGAAGTAACCACTAC